TTTTTTTTTTTGATTATAACTAAACTTATCCAACTGTATCCGCATATCATTGGTGAAATGCATTTTTGGTTAAAGATAAGAGTTGGAACTATCTAAGAAATGTAGTAACCTTTTTCTAAATTATAAGCAATAAGTAAGTGAGTTCGCCAACAGACCTTAACACCGCATTAGACAACAGCGTAATTCTTTAAAAAAGCCAAACTACAACTCTTTCGTAAAAATGACAGCAAATAAGTATACTAATAATTAAATAAGCTACAACTTCAAAAAAATCAGGCTATTGTCTATTTTTTGACAGATCATTGACTGTCGGCTTAGTTATTGGTGGGAATAAATTTGCAAATCGGTCAAAATGTATAATTTTATAATCGTTTAATCCATGAAAAATTTATTGCCAAAAATATATTATAGTTTTGTAAATGTAAAATTTTACTTGTCAAAGTGCAATTAAAATACCATTTGAAATTATCAGTTGAAACACTGCAGAGATTGAAAATGTGTTAATTTATTGAACATCGTTTTTTGACACTTAATGCACTCAATGTTTAATGAAGCTAATAGTTGATCAACACTCTAACTAATTTATTTTACTCATTTTACAGTTTTAGAAGCTTATTTAACAATTGAAATATGGTTTCCAGATCCTAAAAACAACCGGTAGTTTAAAATCTTTTAAGACTTTGCAATTTTTGCTACTCCACATTTAGAATTTATACAAAATAAAATTTTTTTAGGAATTATTTATTCTACATATTTCAAATAATAAAAAGAATTTTTTGAGAAACTCTTCCACACAACGTACAATGTGTGCTGTCAACAGAAAATAAAACCACTGCAAAGGGAAAAAAAATAAGGTCTTAAGAACAAAAAAGTACACAGAAACGTTGCTTTACTGTTACTGTATCAAATAAACTTTAGTTTTTCAGTATTTGAAAAAAAAGAACTTTGAATTAGTATATTTAGGAAAAAAAAGACAGACAGTTCAATGTTTTTTGAGTTGATTTATTAATTGGAAAAGTGAATAATGATTAACTGTGCTTGAATAAACAGTTATTCGGTCTCAAACTAAAATCTGTCGAATAAATTGTACACTATGTCTTATCAACAAACTATAAGCTACTGCACAATATGCGCAACTGATTATCACGATATTTTTTCTCAACAAGTGTAAAATTTCTTATCTTTTTCACAACTCAATTGTTTTTCTTCATCTTGTCGCTAGAACCTTTGGCGTTAAGTTTCCATTTCTGACGTAACAGTTGCAAAACGACAATACTATAGTAAAGACTACACTTGGTTTTGCATTTTTTATGCCAAAAGTAAAAAGAAAACAGAAAAAATTTGTTCTCTGCTTTGGAACTACACAAAAAAGTGGTTTCTTTGCAAAACAATAATTTGTTCTCTGGCACTTTTTTTTAAGTGACACTGATAAATTTTGTAGTATGTATGCATCATAGAGAAGAATATTTCGACAGAGGAGTCTAAATGAACCCTGAATAAGCTCATTAAATAACAGCAAAAAATTTAAGTCTAACAAATGCAACAAGAATGAAATATGAAACAGAAATAAAGAATAGCAAACAGTTAAGACAAAGTTGAAGAACCCAACCAAAACCTTGCTGTTATTCCAGTTACAGTGTAAAATTTTGATTATATAATGTAAAAATTTTGGCTGCTAACACTTTTTCAGTCACTACCATTTGGCATATATCAAATTAGAATTTAATTTCTAATTGTTTTAAAGAAAATTAATATTTTTGCAACTTATCATCACAAATAAGGTGCTTAATGCAAAGCTATAACTTGTTGAGAGTTTGTTCTATTTAAAATTAAGAGTACAGCTAGTCTACTCCTGTTTTCAATAGACTATAGAAAAAATTGGTAATATTCTTTGTAGTTTGAGTAGGTGTAATTACTTATCTCTCGTTATGAACTTTTCGACCCGCTGTCGATAAGGAACAACGGAAACCACCACACCGTAATTAAAACGTTATCTATGGTAAATAAGAAATTTAATGGCAGCAAACATTTAAAGTTTCTTTATAAAACTGTTTTTAGCAGTGTTCCCTCAAACTAAGTAATAATGTTTAAATTCTACAGTTTATTTTTTCTTCTGCTAATCTCAATAGGCACTGAAACACAAGGATATAAAATCTTATGTTTTTGTCCTCAATTCGGCGGTAGTCACATAGCTTTTATTTCCCACATTGCTGATATTCTTGTTGATGCAGGACATGACGTGGTAATGCATGTTTTCCAATAATAAAAGATTCTTTGCACAATTCCCTCTAAAAATTTATAAATTAATTTTATAAACTTTAGCTAACAGTAACTTGTTTCAGACGGTACTAATGACAGAAATGGCTCCAGCTTTTAGGTTAAAAGGGCCTAAGCTGGCAAAAGTTATATCAGTTCCTCCAGTACAAGAAGTAGCTGAATATTTGGACAAAACTGCCAAAATATTGAATGCCTGGAAAGAAGAATTCAGTCTTTCGAAAATATTATCAGTACGTAAAAAGGCTACCTTTGAAGAAATACTACATATCACACTTATTCTTATTGAGAAAATAATTGTAGCTTTCTTCCAAATTTGCTGAATTGTTCGTTAAAACCTGTGGACAACTTAATGCTCAAAAGGAGCTGCTGAAACGGTTAAAAGCCGAAAAGTACGACTTAGCAATAGCTGAAGTTTTCGACGCCTGTGCTTTTGGTTAGTCAAGAGTTAATCTTATTTTCGTGATACAACTGTCATTTAAAAATGTTACTGTTAAAAATTTAAGTTTGATTTAAAATGCTCTCGCCTTCTACCTGCGCTGTCACAAGCACTAAAATGTTTACATGAGCTTTGTAACATTTCCTGAAAACCAGTTAACAATGATTCTATTCAAGAGCAAAAATTTTGACCTAAAAACAGATATTATTTCTTTGAAAACTTATTTCTCATGTTCGTTAAAAAGTGTTTGAAACAAACAACCTCAAAGAGAAAAACAGTGTATCTGTTCAACAAAAAAACTGATTTTTTTTCCATTTCTGAAAACCAAAAATCACTTTTGTTTACTGAAACACTCAAAACAAAGGTTGCATAAGCAATTAGCAAACCAAATCGCTTTGTTCACAAACGAACAAAAGTGATTATCACCAAAATATCAAAAAAGTTGTTGGTTAAGCATGAAGTATGAGTTTGAATAACAGATGCTAAAGTACGCCGTTCACAGCAATTTGATGAAATTTATTCCTTCTAATTTTTTTCTTTTTTTTTTGCTGTCGGTTGTATTAAATTTAACCTATACTACCCTAAAAATACAAAGTTGCTGTAATTTATATTTTGTTAAGACTGCTTTGATCGTTGTGACTAAAATATAATATTTTGCCAAAATTTTTCTTATTTTCTAATTTACAGTTATTCCTCTTTAAAATGTCAAAATATATGCGCTGAAAAATTTACCACAGTGATAAAAAAACCATTTTTTTTTTTTCAGGAATTACTGAAATGTTGGAGATAAAAGGACAGCTGCTGGTAAGTGCAAGCGCTCTCATGGAGTCGGTTTCAACCATCATGGGGATCCCAGTGTTTCCAAGCTACGTGCCAAGTAATTTTTCTCTGAATTCCTCTTGTTAAAAACAGCACGAACTGTTCGGTTGATTCTAAGTAACGTGCCTACAAAGTTGACATAAGTTTTAAGCTGCATTTTCTTCCTTTACCGACAATATGACTTATGCCGAGCGAATTTTTAATTCTATCTCACTGGAAGTTGGAAAATATCTATTTAATAACATAATTGACGAAGAAACTAAACTTTTTCGACGACTCTACGGCAGTGATTTCGCAGATCTCAAAGTAAAATTTTCTTCTTGTAGTTTAGAATTTACTGGACATAATGTTGGTTTTAACATCTATAATAAGTAAGTACGTCAAAATAATGATTCTCTTTATCGTTAACTTCCCTTGTACTTTTCTTCGTTCAGGACTTAATAGCACGGTCTGCATTTTTGCTAACCAACGGAGAATCGCTACTTGATTTCCCGCATCTAACATCAGCAAAAGTTGTTGAAATTGCTGGTTTAGGCACAATGGACCCAAAACCCCTTGACGAGGTAAAATTACTTTGCAAAAGCAATCAATTTTCTTAACATACAGTTAGCATTTGAACTACTATTTTTTCCTCTGAGTTATGGAAAAAAAACTGCCGTATTTTTAGTCTTGGAAATCTGCAATAGCGAATAGAACCAAATTGATTTTGGTTTCATTTGGTTCAATGGTAAACAGCAGTGACATGCCACAAGAAATGAAAGATAATGTACTGAAAACGTTCGCACAATTCCCAGAGATATTGTTCATTTGGAAGTATGAATCTGACGATCTCGACATAAACAACTATAAAAATGTTATTCTCAGCAAGTGGACCCCTCAGAATGACTTATTAAGTTGGGATTTCCTGAGATTTCCTGAGATTACTCAACTTTATTTGAAGATTTTGTTAATGCTTTTAATCTTCTCGAATAATTGCGTTTAGTTAACTGCATAACTATGGTACGCAGATTATAACAAACTTCAGACGATCCACGAATGATCGCGTTTGTAACACACGGCGGTTTGAACAGCGTTATTGAATCGCTAAGCAGAGGCGTACCAATGATAACGGTTCCATTGTTTGCTGAACAGAAGCATAACGCAGCCATGGTAAGACGAGCCCACGTTGGGATAACAATTTCGGCTGATCACTTAGCTAATTCTGAAAAGTTCGTGGCGTCGTTGTCAACAATTCTTAACGATATCAGGTGACATTCTCAGTTAATGATTTTTCATAATCTGCTTTGAATATTTTGTAAGTAAAAAGCTGCAAAACAATCATAAATTATGTATGTCTTGAGGAAATTCAAAACTGTATTACTGCAATTCCTCACCAACTTGTATAGCGATATTATTTAGTTACGCTGCGAATGCCAAAAGGATGTCAAGGATGATCGCTAAGAAACCAATGAAACCTAGAGAAACGTTGATAAAATACGCCGAATTTGCTGCAGAATTCGGAAATTTGCCTCATTTAGATCCTGTTGGTCGAAAAATGCCATTTTATAAATTGTATCTGTTAGATATAATTATTCCTTTACTTCTTCTAATTATGCTACTCTTCGCAGCAGTTTTATTTGCAATATACAAAATTGTTATTGTTACTCTAAGGCATATTACTGTTACTAAAAATAAAACTGAATAATTCTTAAATATTTTGTTTAAAATTTCTTTATCTTTCTCAGACAATGATTATTTTGTGACAGTCTTACCTTCAGCTGATAGTTTTGCTCGAAGAAGGTATGTCATCTAATATAATCAAATCATTCTGGTGTTTTTAATAAGCTTTGTTTATAGACCCACATTTTTCAGATTTATTCTTTACATGTATCGGCTTGTTGCTCAGGTTTGACAAGAAAAATGCTGCTAAATGTGTCGCTCAGAAGTAATTGTTTGAAAAACAATGTGCACTTTTCAACTTAGGAAAATAATTTTGACCTAGTAATTAATGAAAAACGCTGAATTCTTTATAATGTTTAGGTTTAGTTTAAGAATAGAGCAGTCAGAGAGGAGGAAGCACATGGTAAACTTTTCTAATATAAATTATATAGTGAAAAAAAATTAATATCAAGTAAACTTCAAAATAAGAAATAATTTGCAAATATAAGTGGAATTAAGTTACATCTAATGGTTACTTTGTGTACAGCTGTATTCAATTTTTTGAAATTGGAATAAAATTTCAGTTTTGTTGATGCAGTTTCAAATGATCACTTTACCAACAGTTTTCAGCACAGCATTGTCATCTAAAATGTTCCTGAAGAATAGGTCAACTTCTGTAGTGTACCAAAACTTGGGGTTTTATAAACTTTTGAGCGACATCGTTTTTTGAGATTCTTACCTTTCAGAAAACCAGTATTTTTTTGGGAAAATGCTTTTGTCTTTATAAAGAAGCTATTAAAATTTCCCGATTACCATATTTTATCAGAGAATGGAATAAAATTATTATATTGTATTATGAACAATATAAATGCATATTTATCTTCTTCGAAATTATCATCTTGTGCTAACTTTTGAACAATTAGCTAACCATTTCTTAAAGGAATTCTGTGTTGTTTAAATTAAGCTATCAGTGGTATAAAAGAGCACTGTATCGTCCTGCAACAAAGACAAAGATCTAAAATAAGAAAGTCGAGAAGAACAAATCATTCTGCAAAAAAAAAATCAATATCGATCTTAGCCAAATTCAACATATTGTTCCGACCGTTACGAATAACAAAAAGAACCACAGTGGTGTAAACTTTGCAGTGATACCAAAACTCAGTGCAACTTTAGCAAACAGTTTAAGTATTAGACAAGAAATTTCAAAGTTGGAGGTGCAACAGCTTTTCTGACAAAACCATAATGCTTTGACAATGCTCGCTTGTGGCTTTCTCTGGATACTGCAAAAAGTTGAAGAATTGTTAGGTAGTGACCAGTCTAAAAAAATAACAAAGAACTAATTTGGTGATATTTATTGTCTTCTACTGACATTATATAAAACCAAATAAAAATGAAAAAAATTTTTGTATCGCATCACATTTCGTGCAACAAATTCCTTCACTCATTGTAAACTGATGTCTAGATTAGAAAAAAAACAGAATGTAAGTTACAGTAAAATACTACAGAAAATTGCAACAGAAAAATTTTAAAAAACTTACTACAGCTCAAGATTAAATCCTAGTCTTAAAGACCTAACAGTGTGTAGTCAATTATACCTCTAGTACAAATTTGACTTTTCAACTATCTACAAATTAGCATATTTGGTTAAATTTGCTAATTATTCTACTTTTAGTAGTTAAAATTTTAAATTTCTAGACTGTCTAAACAAAGAACAGAGAGCAAATAACCAGGAAAGTTTCAGCTGTTATTAGATAGTACAATTAAAGATAAAAATAACAATAAAAAACGAAAAATTCATACATTTAATTAAATCTTAATCATAATTACATCTGTTTTTATGAATTTTTCAAACTGGCTGAAATTTACTGCAGATTTCCAAAGCGCAGTGATGTCAGAATAAAATACGAAGCGCCTAAAAAGTAAGGTAGATGAAAAAGAATTCTGTAAACACGAAAAGTTGTGTCTTACCAGATTGTTTTAAAACTGTTCTATTTAATTACCAAAACAAAAAGCAGAATGAAAAACCGCAAAATTATCTGACAGTTTGCTCATTTGGTTCAGACAGCAAATTCAGCAGAGGTAGAGTTATTCCAGATAACGGAAACAGCCTGAAATCTAATTTCACTGTTAAAATACTGACATTAATTGGTATTTTTCAAAAACTAGCTTTTGAAAAATTTACTGAAGATGAAAAAAAGTTACTATTTTGAGTAACAAAGCTGCCGTCTACCTCTTCAGCCGATAAAAATGTCAGCAAATGAACCCCTCAAAATGACTTAATAAGTTGGCATTTCTTGTTTAAACGCCTCTTTCAGTCCCGTTAATTCTTTTGTATAATCACAGTAAGTTAAACACATATCTGCATAGCAAGCAAGTAACGCCAAACTTCAGACAACCCACAAATGATCGCGTTTGTAACTCACGCGGGTATGAACAGTGTTATTGAAACGGTGACCAGGGGTGTACCAATGATAACAATTCCATTATTTGCCGAACAGAAGCGTAACGCAGCAATGGTAAGAAGAGCACGTATTGGGATAACCATTTCAGCTGCCGATTTTGCCAATCCTGAGAATTTTGCGGCATTGTTATCAACTATTCTCAAGGATACAAGGTACCATTATCAGCTTATGACTCAATAAGACTCACTTTAAATCTTTTGCACATAAACAAATACAAAGCAACTGTAATTATTGTATGTCTCAAGAAAATTCGGAATTGTCCCGCTGCAATTTCACTACAATCTTTATAGCAGTATTATTTAGCTATGCTCCAAACGCCAAAAGAATGTCAAGAACGATAGCTAAAAGACCGATAAAACGGCAAAAAATTGAATAATTAAAATATTTTTATTTTTTAATTTTAGTATCAAAAGGATTAAAAATGCTTAAATGAGGTTTGCTGAGGTTTTTCTGAAAACACGTTGACATCGGTGTTCTTTTATAAAAAACGTTGAAAAAGCAAATAGAATCTACTTTTTTAACAAAAATTTCTTACTTTTCATTGCTAGATTTTTAAAATAACAATTAAAAAAAATTTACTCAGAAAGGAAACTGAATTCTTTTCAAAAAAAATAAAATAAAATAAAAAATAAAGAAAAAGGCAACCATACATTTGTTCAATGAGAAATTCTCTACCAACTTTGTCATTCTTAAAGAACAAAAAATATTTTTATTTACAAAAGTACTCTGAATTAAGGATTTTGCAGACAGAAAACCTCACTGCCGACAGAAGAAAAAAACTGCTCCTCGTCAAAAAATCAAAAATTTTGTTAGTTAGCAGTAAAGATTGAGTTTAAAGTAAGAAATGCCGACCTATGCTGTTGACGATATTTCATTAGGCTTTACATCCTTGGCTTTTGCTTTTAGTTATAGTGACTCTGCTAATACCAGCTGTCGCAGAAAGAAGTACTATACTTTTGAATTTTTTGATGATTACAGATAGAAAGTAAGTCTGCCTGTATCAGGAGAATATTGATTCAGTTGAAAATCTCCTTATTGAGACAATTGCCTGCCACCCGGATTTAAGACGTCAGTAAGACTTCTTTTGCGAATACTTTTATCAAGTTTTCTGACAATACATAGGAGAGTACAATACTTCACTACTAGCTTCAGGAAAAAGAACCTCATATTTTGCAATTATCCTTTTATACTGTCAAGATTCAAAGCAAAATTATAAATACATTAATCTTTTAAAAAGTACTTTCTACGATACGCTCTGATTATACGATATCTAGAACTTTTCCCAACTTACTGAAAAATGTGATTTGTAATTTTTGGTGTAGAAGTAACCTCATATCCATCATTCCTTCTGATGTAAAAGTAACTTTGATCTTGACCGTTTCATCATTTTTGGCGATATCTCTGCTGTTCTTTCATCCTTCTGATTCTTGAATTACCCTTACGTATGGGATATCTCCCGTTCATTCATTATCCAATTGATCAATAATTACTCTATTAAAAAATAATGATAAATTCTTTTTGCTTATGGATACTTGGTTTTCTCCATTCCTTTGATCCTCCTTTCAATTGTTGATTTTCTCTTCTGATCCTTGATCCTTTGATATTTCGCTTTTTTAGCGCCACCAGCCTATAAATGTAAAATTGCCAACCTTATTCCTCACATGGCCACTTTGGCGATTTTATACAAACTAAAACGGATATATAAATTTTTTAATATTTTGACAAAATTATTTCTACTTTCTGTATTCCCATTCACGCTTCTTTAAAGTGTCAGAAGAACTGTGTAATGGACATCACTATGACTGTCAAAAGCCACTTTTATTTCAGGAATAACTGAACTGTCAAAGATGTCTGGTCAGCTACCGGTAAGTCCAAAGTATTATGGGGCCGCTTGTTTCTATCATTGGAATCCGAGTGCTTCCAAGCTACTTGCCAGGCAATCTTCCCTAATTTCTTTTCTATTCGCAAAATCACTGACCATTTAGTTGATAACAACTAACATGTCTGCAGAGATATCATAAATTTCAAGTGATACTTTCGACCTTCACTGACACCATGAATTATGTTGAACGCTTTTCCAAATTCACCGTCATGGAAACTGGAAAATACGTATTTACTAATATTATTGAAGAAGAAACTAAACTTTTTTGATGACTTTATGGCAGTAATTTTGACAATATCAAAGCAAATTTCTCTTTTTTGCTTGAAAATTAATCGATTGTACCGGTCACTTTTAACATTGATACCGAATACGTAAAACACAGCAATATTATGCTTTCAGTAATACCTTCATTTATTAACTTCTTTTTGCTCAGGAGTTAATAGTACGGTTGACTTTTTGTCAACCAATGGAAAACCTCTTCTTGATTTTCCTCAACTAACAACATCAAAAGTTGTTGAAATTGCTGGTTTAGGCACAGTGGTCCCAAAACCACTTGATAAGGTAAATCACTTTGTGGAATCAATTGCTTTTTTTAACATACATTTAGCATTTAAACTACTTTTTTTTCTTCTAAGTTATGGAGAAAAAACTACCGTATTTTTAGTCTTGGAAATTTGCAATAGCGAATAGAACCAAATTAATTTTGGTTTCATTTGGTTCAATGGTAAACAGCACTAACATGCTACAAGAAATGAAAGATAACGTACTAAAAACATTTGCACAATTTTTTTGGAGATATTGTTTATTTTGAAGTATGAGTCTGACGATCTCGACATAAGCAACTATAAAAATGTTATTCTCAGCAAGTGGACCCCTCAGAATGATTTATTAAGTTGGAATTTCATGAAATTACTTAACTTCATTTAAAGATTTTGTTAGTGCCTTTAATCTCTTTGAATAATTGCCTTCAGTTAATTGCATAAGTGTATGGTACGCAGATTATAACAAACTTCAGACGATCCACAAATGATCGCGTTTGTAACTCACGCGGGTATGAACAGCGTTTTTGAATCGTTAAGCAGAGACGTACCAATGATAACGGTTCCATTGTTTGCTGAACAAAGGCGTAACGCAGCGATGGTAAGACGAGCCTACGTTGGGACAACAATTTCGATTGATCACTTTGTTAACCCTGAGAAGTTTGCGGCGTCACTGTTAACAGTTCCCAATAATACAAGGTAACATTATCAGCTTTTTTGTAATTCGTCTTAAATCGTTTGTGTTCAAACATCTGCAAGACGACAATAATTACTGCATGTCTTAAGAAAGCTTAAAACTGGATTATTGCCATTCCTCACCAACCTGTATAACAGTATTGTTTATCTATGCTGCAGATGCCAAGAGGATGTCTAGGGTGATAAGTAAAAAACTGATAAAACCTAAAGAAACGTTGACAAAGTATGTCGGTGCTGCTGAGTTTGGAAATTTACTTCAATCAGACCCTGTTGGCCGGAAAATGTCGCCATATAAATTATTGGATATAGTTATTTCTTCACTTCTCTTGGGTATTTTACTGTTCACGGTAGTTCAGTTCAAACTGTACAGAATTTTCGCTGTTATTTTAAAGCATCTGCTACATGTTACTAAAAGCAAAGCGAAATGATTGTCACTCCACTTTTAATTTTTATGTCTTTAGTGGTAACCTTTACATTTTCAGAGCAGTAACAATTATTCGTGAGCTCTACGCTGGTTAAATGTGTCACCTAGCATAATTGAGTCTTTTGTTGTGTCATATGCTCATCTAAGTAGTCAGTCCCATTTTTTTCGGACGCATCTTTTTGCCAGCTCAGTTTACTCTTTGCTTGTCTCACAGTGCTTAAATTTTGCGAAACATATCTTGAGCATATTACTACAGAAATAATTTGCAGTAAAAAGGGGAAGTCATTTTTGACTACTTAATGGACTCAAATAAACCCTGCATTTGAATGCTTTGTTTTTAGCCGAAATTCTACTTGAGTATATGAATGAACATCCGTTTTAATTGACGTGTCTTCACGAGATTTAAGGAAGTAACTGATAAACTTTGTTGAAGATTACTGAGATACAGAAAATATGTGACGGGAAAACAATTATATGAACGAGACAACGACATATTACACAGAAATGTCCGCCGTAAAAAAACCCGGTACTTCAATCCTAACTGATATAGCTACTACTAAAACAGAACAAAACCTGGCTATTCAAATGACTCCGTGATTCCAGCACTAGTTACAAAATCATTGGTGGGAGCTTAATTGAAGTTTTTTCTGAACCAGAAATACTTACTTTGAATCTATTTTCACTCCCAATATGTATCCCATCAAAATTGATTCTAAAAAAGACTCCTTGGCTTTTAAGTAATCAAAACTAATCAACCTTTATGAACTTTAGTGTGAAAGATCGGATTTCATAAAAACTAAAACGATATTGTAACACGAAATATTCGCCAATAACAAAAATGGTTTTGTTAATGGACTAATATTCCTCATGATTAACAGAGTGTATGCATTAAAAGTTTTCCAATGCAATGAAAAAAGTTTTTGATCCATCAAAAATAATTAAGTAGAAAAATTTTGAATTAAGAAAATATCACAGAGACAAAGAAGGAAGTTATCAGTAAAAAAATTAAAGAGCAAAAATTTGTGTATTTTTTGCCGGCAAAAACTGGTTGGTAGGACTTATCAATCCACAAAAGAAAAGAAGGAACCAAGAACAACAAACGATCCAGCAAGAAACAGATGAAATATCGGTTCTAACAAATCTGAAAATACCCGTATGAACACGAAGAATGACAAGAATAATAACAGTAACATAGTTCTTGCAGTTATTTAACTCTATTGCATATATGCTTTCTGAAAATATCTTAACTACCGGTGCAAAACACTGAGAAAGCAGAGCAAAAAAAAAACTATTAAAAAACTAAGGCAGATCAAGCAGTTGATTATCGCTGTAAATGACTTGAACTCTTTGGTAGACAATTTTAGAGGCAGAAATAAGTCTATCAATAGTTTCGGTGATCTGCTCCTCTGACGGGTTAACCACATTACTTTGTGAAGCCAAATTTTTTATGAACGCTTCTCTTGAACCCAAGGTAAAGCTTGCAAGTGCAACAGCATTTCTGATAATAAAACTATGATACTTTGCCAGTGTCCGTCCGTAGCTTTCTCTGCATAATGTAGAAAGCTGAAATACCATTGACTAATATACAGTCTAGAAAGTATCGGTAAACTCAAAATATGAAAAATGATCAGTTTGTTAAAAGTTGTCGTATTTTATACAGATTACATAAAGATAAATAAAAAAAAATGGAAAAAAAAATCTGTGGAGGATCACATCAAGTTGACACGCATCTCTTCAATTAT